CCCCCCCGGTCTCTCCTCTTCCTCACCTCCAGTCTCTGTGCCCTCTCCTTGCTCAGTGGCTCCAGGGGGAAGTTCATGTTGTTGTCGTCCGCCAGCGAGCGCAGGTCGAAGTAATATTTGGCGTACACGCTGGCCGGGACGTTGATGTTGAACTGCAGCAGCTCTAAAAAGTGTCTTTCCATCTCGTTCCTAGAAAGCAACCCAAAGCAAAGGGTCCCTTAGTGGAGGTAAACTGAGCAGAGCTGCAGCTGGGAACCTCCTCCGATGCTCAGTGTACAGCCTGCCCATTCTACAGCACGGCACTGCCAGGCACTGCCAGGACTGCGGCCTCACGTCCAGCAGCACTAACACAGCTGTCTGTAAGGCACAGGACAACCGGCCAGAGAGCACATAGATGCTGGAGAAGGCTCTTATCTTCTCATGTCACATCAAATTTATCTTCTCCTTCTTAGTCTGTGCTATAGCCCACGCCGCGAAGGTCTGAAAAGTCAAGCCTGTTCATGTTTAGAAGCTCCAATAAAGACATGGGAAAAGGACTGTATAGCAGTACCTCAGCTATCCATGCCACACAACTTCTAAACAAATATTCATACACCACACATAAACATACAGACATCAGGCAGGATCTGCAAGACTATATTTTGAACGCATTCTGAAATTCAAACAGGGTCTGAGACGCATGTCTGCATTGAGGCAATGCAAAAAGCAAAAAAAATAAAATTAAAATATGAATCTAATGTGCAGCACGACTCAAATGCGTCGCCAGCATTTAAAACGAACAAAAATCACAACGTTGAAATGATTACAAAACATCTGGTCTCATACTAGCATGATCCAGAAATGCACAATAACCAGATATCTCATCATCTCTTGCCTTCGCTGTAAATTGAACAGTGTGTGCAATCCAGTCTTGTTTGTGTGCCGCAAGTACATAATGGAAGTTTAACAAAAGGTTTGTTTCTTGCACGGCAAGAATAACTTTCCAGAAACCTAGAAATGATCCTCGGGCTCCCAACATAGCACACACATAGCAGGACTATGAAGCCCAGGCCCTAGAAGAGATACCTGCGTGTTTGTTCATACTGAAGGACTCACAAGCATTTTCACCAGAGTGAGAGCAGCCAGGATGTTTATTGGAACAGAGGCGCACAAATAAAGAACCCTGCGAGTCGCTACGGCAACTAATGGATATGGCGAGAGCCGGCTCTATTATCTGTGGGCCATGAGGGCCCTTGAGCGAGGGCAGGCTCATCTCTAAAAGGCTTCAATAAAGGAGCTGTATGCCTGTAATGCAGAGGAGAGTGGAGGAGCTGCACACACTGAAGGCAGTACAATGCTAACCTTGGCATTCAGAAAGCACAACATGGCACTGGGATAAGAGGAGCATCTTGTCACAAGGTGCATACTGCAGACCATCTACTTTATTGCATTGTGATTGCCTCAAGATTGGCTCGATATAAGTGCATCTCCGGCTACACACAATGGCAAACAAACAGATATTACTAATTCCCTTCGAGAACAGATCCATTGTCCGAGCTGCCCATTTGCTCCCTCTCCGAGATGTGCCCCCCTCCCCCCCTCCTGCCCAGGTCACGACCCTTTTGGCAGATGGACTGGCTGTTTTGTTCTCGGAAAACCAGTTCCACTCAGGTTCGCATTCCTGGGCGTCTAACGATGAGGAAACAGGAAAAAAAAACGGCTCCGCTGTTTCAGCCCAAACAAGACCGAGAGCCCAGAAAAGGTATTCTCATCCTTTCTGCGCTTCTAATGTCACTGAGGGTGCTAATCCCCAGGTACTACTAAACAACAAGGCCCATCTAACCCTGCGCTACCAGAAACCTGCTTAATCCCAGTGAGGGTCACGGAAAGAAGTCCATCCCGGAAACACAGGGACAGCCTCTGGGAGGCACGAGGGATGAGGTAGGAGGAATCCGGAGCACCAAGAGAAAACTAATGCAGACGGAGTGGGATTAAGCAGGTTTCTGGTAGCATAGGGGTAGCAAAATCCTTGGAGCGGTGGCTCTGTGGCTCAGGATCCGTGCCCGTGGCTGGAAGGTTGCCGGTTCAAATCCCGCAGCCGGCAGAGGAATCCTACTCCGTTGGGCCCCTGAGCAAGGCCCTTAACCCCAGCTGCTCCAGGGGCACCTTATAAATGGCTGACCCTGCGCTCTGACCCCCAGCTTTTCTCCCTGTCTGTGTGCCTCATGGAGAGCAAGCTGGGGTGTGCGAAAAAAATTCCTAATACAAGAAACTGTATGTGGCCAATTAAAGGGATCTTATCTTATCTATGTTACCTCCTCACAGCCTGGAACCCTCTCTGGGACCCAAGAGCTGCAAGGCAACAGCACACCACTGTGCCACCTGGGAGGGACTGTGACCTGTTGAACTGACGTCAGGGACCAAAGATTTGGCCATTTTGGAAAAGCTGAGGGATTGAATTCTTTCTCTCAATGGCTGGGTAAGACTGCAGGATCAATTAGCGACTTGGCAACCAAACGGGTTCGTTGGAACGAAGGAGGTCTTCTCATTTGTAACATTCTTGTTTTGCGAAGAGAGGCTGCCTCGTGGGGCTGGGGCCTTGGATTCAACTCCTGGGGTGCTATCGGGAACTTGGATTGCTTTCCCCATGTTCACCTGGGCTTGCTCCCACAGTCCAGAGACAAAGGTGGGTGAACTGGTTTCCAGGAAAACTGGCCCTGGTGAGAGTGTGTGCGTGTCAGTGCGTGCCCACAAACACGAAGCGTGACCGCAGAGACAGACAGCTGTGGTCCAGCAGCCCACAGGCTCATAATAATCAGAGCAGGGCTCTCTGCAGGGACCAGCATCCTCTGCTTTCTGCCACGGCCACGTTCTGAGCAACACAGAGGGTCTAATTAAATAATTAGGAGTACATCATTTTAATATGTCATCATACTCCAAGGTGCTTTATAGCTGACTTTAATGAAGCGACCGTCTTGGGTAATCATCTTTGAGCGATGAACCTTACAGGCATCTCAATTAGGAGATAATTAGGCTAATTGTTCAGCCAGGTCCATCTCATTGGGAGGATTACGTTTATCCCAATGTCAATATGCTTGTTTCTTCGGCGTTTCAAACCCTTATGTTGTAAGGCCAACACCCACACGCAGAACAGAGCACCGCGATGTGTGTGCATGTACGACTAGCGTATTGCAGAAGACTAGGAAACTAGGAGACAAAAAGGTGCTCTAACTGTCAGAGTGCAGGCAGGCCCAACAGTAAGGACTCCATTCACCCTCTGTCAGCATTGATGACTTTTATTCTATTATTTAACGCCTCACCGTGCGAAGGAGATTCACAACACGATACAACAAAGTACACCAAAATGCAACAGACTGGTTTCTATTACCTTGCGTGTTGCGTTTTTAATGCCACCAAATATTTAACAACAGCCCCGTCTGCTGAGACGGGATCACAGCAGGCTTCTAAACAATACTGGGAAATCTGTACTGAAGGACAAATAAATGATGCTGGGGATGAGAACAGGGGGTCGGGGGGCTGTACTCACATGTCCTCCACAGTGATGTCTTTGAGGATCTGGCAGTAGTCCACGTTCCACACGGCCTGGTCGTCCCAGACCTTGGAGGCCAGCAGGATGGCCCCCAGCACGATCCGCTTCCAGTTACAGGGACAGATATCGATCTCCGCGTAGGTCAGCAGGCGCTCCAGGTACACCTGACGCAGAAACCACACCCACGGCCCTCAGCGGCTCCCCTCACAAAAAACGAGCGCCGACCCGGCTCAGCCTGCGCCGCGCCCCCACGGTCAGCGCAAACCAGTAACAACGCCAGCAGCTCGACCACTCTGCGGCCCACTGGAGCTCGGCAGGGGTGAGCCTGGTCAGTGCCTGGATGGGAGACCTCCTGGGAAAGCGAAGGCTGCTGCTGGAAGAGGTGGGAGTGGGGCCACTAGGGGGCGCTCACCCTGCGGCCTGTGTGGGTCCTAATGCCCCGGAATAGTGTAGGGGACACTAGACTGTAAAATAAAGCGCCCTCCTTTGATAGAGATGTAAAACTGAGGTTCCAAGTCTCCGCAGTCATTAAGAATCCTAGGACGTTTCTCAATAAGAGTAGGGGTGTTCACCCCGGTGTCCTGGCCAAATTTCCCCCTGGCCTTTTCTAATCATCGCCTCCTAATCATCCCTATTTTATTATTAATAATGAAAAACTGGGGGCCCCCTGAAGCCCACCCAACCCGACAGCTTTTTTAAACTGAGGGAGGTCCCGACTGCTTTGTCGCTGCAGACCCCCTGGCGCTGCTCATCAGACTAGACGTAACTCCAGTATCCTCGCTAATTCAGACTTGGGCTTGTACAATCTGTCCTACCTGGTCATACTCAAGATCTCCCCTAATTCAACTAACAAGGCAGTTTCTCAACATCCCCTTATCAGCTCAGTAGTGCAGCTGCTCTTGCTGAAAGCCTAGTGTGCCAAGCAGGTGAGGAGAAGGCCACCTCCCGTCTGTAAAGCGCTATACAAACACAATTATCTCGCGAGAACTGCCCTTCCACGGCCATCTCTCCACAACCACAGGGAGAAACAGAATAAGGAACAAAGGATCACGTGGGTATAAACTAATCGGAAAATCTCTGGTACCTCCTAACTGTCTGGAGGTAATTAAAAGTCTAAATCAAACATTGAAACTATTAATATGCATTAATAGTTTGGCTCATTAAATGAACAGATTCACATGACTAATACCACCACTGCAGCAGAATATACAGTCTGTACACTGAGGGTGGAGGGAGAAGGGCCTCCAGCAGCCAGCAGATGGTTTCATCAAAAGCTCTTTACAGATACTCAGCACATGGAGCCGAGGATCCCACTGCTGAGCTGATTAACAACACTGGCCCTGTGGCGGAGTTACTGGAAGCACAGCCTGTGTGCTACTGCCCCCCAGTGGCACACTAGCGACAGGGCTACCTCGAGCAAAATGAGGCAAACTCAACGGCAAGCAGCTCTCATCTGTTCTAGGATTTTACACCAGGAGACAAGAAGTTCGTGGGGGAAAAAAAAAACTAGGTGTTTGTTAAGCATGCCTTTGCTGAAAGTTTAACGCTCGCCGACATCCATTCCGGAGAGCCATTTTAAAAACGATTCGAGAGAAATGAAAATCGCCCGCCTCCAGAACAACATTTTGATTCCACCCCCGGTTGATTCCATGAATCAATATCCAACTGCTAGCCTTTCCCACTGGGCGATTTTGAAATCTCCAAGACCAGCTCTTCAAACCGGCTTCATGCGTGGCGGACACCCTGTACAGCCTCGGGTAACGGTGTGCATCCTCTGGGGAAAGGATCTGGTCCCGAGCAAGACCACGTCCACAGCACAGTCGGGCACTGATCCGGGAACTTCCCTTGACACTACTGCCCTCTGGTGTTCACCGGTGGTGTGCAGGCACAGCTGAAAAAGGTCAGTGTTGCCTTGCCAAGAAACCTTCACCCCTCTATCCCAGGAGGTTTAAAAGAGTGCACTGATTTTACATCTGGACATATTTCAATGAACTATTTTCACCCAGTCTAGTATCTTAAAAGCCTCAGTGCGTATTTATTGGACGGCACACACATGCTTGGTTTAGAAAGAGAAACTCTCTTTTAAGCACATGCAGGCTTCCGGGCCCCATGGAGGAAACCCCCCCCACCCCCGAGCGGCGCGGGGTCTCACCAGCGTGACGATGGCGCACTCGGCCGTGAGCTGGGCCGCGCTGAACAGCGTGCGGACGAATCGGTAGATGTGCTTGTGCTCCGGGTCGTTCCGGGAGTAATCGTCCGGCACCTCCTCCCTCTGCAAGGGAGACAGGGAGCGCCGCTTGAGGAGGTGGGGGTACGGAGGAGGGAGCCCGAGGGGTGCTGCAAGCCCCGGGCCCCCCCCCATCGAGCCCCTCTGAGGAGCTGTGGCCGCCACGGTCCAGCCGAAAAACAAGGCCGTTTTCTTTGCGCGGTCTCCCGTGGGGCTCACACCCCCACAACCAGCCGCTGGGCATGACCGCGAGGCTCTGGTACAGTGTTCAGTGTCGGCCTGTTGCTAGCAGTTTCCAAGAACGGTCACAAACAACAGAAGACCATTTCTTCCATCTAGCAGGTTTGGTTTTCTGCAGCTAATTGCTCTGAGGATGGCATCCATAAAGAAGCCCGGGGCAACAGCTGCAAGAGTACCATAACCTGTCCAGGTATAATTCCACGCGCTTCTGTGCTCTGGTCTGAGTCCACTAGGTGGATTTTATCAGCGCCTTTGAGCTTTTATATACCCTATTCCCAGTCCCCTTCTTGCTCTTTCTGTTCAAGGCTACAGAGATTGAGTTCTTTTAGTCTGCCTGTGTGGAGAAATGTATCTGGTCCCTTTTCTCCGATCAAAGGAATATATATTTCATGCATCATAGTGCATAAAACTGCACACAATGTTCTCGAAAGAGGTCACATAAGTACATTGCACAATTTCAACTCAACATTCCCCGATTTAAATGCTATGTTTCCAATGATATTTCAGAGCTTGTTTTGATTGCTTCCCTGTCGTATCTAGAGGATGAAACTAAGATCTGCAGTCAAGCACGTATGCAACTGGCAGTGACACTCTGAAGCGGGGCCCAGCTACATGGGAAAGACGTTTCAGAAGAACGTGACACGCAAGCCTGTCGAGAGAACAATCTGTGGTCCCCAAAATCGTCAAAGCGACAGAAACAACTTAAATGCGACACAGTTAGGGAACAGTTAGAACTGAAGCCTTAAACGACACTCCTCAACGTGAGTGTGAGTGAGCAGTGCATACAGATTTTTTTATGAGACTGGCCCAGAACTGGCCTAGTAAGGTTTCTGAGTGGATAAGCTAAACAGCAGATGGACAAGCTGCGGCAGACGAGCCCCTCCGGTTCTAACGGTCCCTGGATTTGGTGAACAGTACCAACAAAACGTGCACCGGCATCCAGACCGCTGTGCCTTTCTTTCAAGTGCTCGGCGTTGGTGCACCACCCAACAAGACGATCGCAGCCGAAAAAGGGGATTTTCTTTCTCCGCTGGGGGACCGATCGGTGCAGCACAAGTCTCCCCACTGCGGCAGGAGGAGACGGGGGCGCCGTCCGAAAGAAAGAGGGGCTCCGGACGCCGGAATGACGAAACTCCCCCCGGGGGCTCCAGGAGGCCGCGGCCGAGGCGACACTCACCGAGAGAGGGTGCATCTTCTCGTCGAAGATGTCCAGAGAGCGATTCGAGTCCCTGCGGGGAACAGAGGAGCATCAGGTGAGAGAGTCACGGAGGACGGCCGAGGACCTGACAACGCCGGCAGGGCAGGGACGACGGGAGGAGAAACGCAGAAGGCGCGGCGCGGAGACCAAATTCAAGACCCGCGCATCGGCCAGAATCAATCGGTATCGCGTGCAGGCGAAGGAAGTGGAAGAACACAGAGACCAGCCTTACCTGTTTTTTATATGGTAGTATATTGCTAACGTAACACTGGAAAGCAAAAAGAGAAAAGAAGGGTTAGTTCACAGGGGTTTTCCCCTCTCGGGTCCAGGGCGCAGGAGCTGGAGAGGCTGGCTCAGCCCACCGCTGCCCGCTGCCTCTCCCAGGAGACCCCAACGCATTAACGCAAGCCAGGTGACCCGCATCGCTCTCACGCCAACGTGATCGCAGATCCGGTTACAGGAAACGGCAACCAGAGTCATCCGAGTTCGAACTCCCAATACCAGCACCACCCCTCACCCCCCACCGAAACCCCTCCAGTCCATCGGCTTCTTGCAATGAAAAACCAGAAGTCACCTTTTTATTTCGCTCCGACACAAGTGAAATGATGCCATACAAAATGACCGATCCGGGCGGGGGGCAACTACAAAGAAAGCGTTCATGTCTTTACGGGAATACAGAGCAGGTCTGCTCCAGTCACCTTCTAGTCTTCTCTGCAGACCGGCAGCAGTGAAGTAACCGGCGCGGATACGTCAACGCTTGCCACCCCTAACCCCCCGAGTCACCGGGCAGCAGCTCAGTCCCCGAGAGGCGTCCACACGACACTCACCATTTTATTGTGCTTTTTAAATTAGGCTGGCTGACTGTGCTGTCATCAATAAATATGGTGGAACAGGAGCTGTATTTCTTTGTCAGCTGCCCAGGAGACACCTTGAAAATAATAAACCAGAAGGGGACAAATCAAAGAGAGATGTAAAGGTGTTGCGGGGGGCAGCCCAAGCACCGGGCCTGGGTCTGGGAAAAGCAGAAACAGTTTTAAAAAATGTTGTCAAGCTGCGTGAAATGCTCTCCCCTAGTCAAGGGTGCTCATTTTAATCTGGCTCAGCTCGGTGCACGCAGGAGGCCAAGGAGAGAGAGACCAGCAAAAACAAGGTTGGCGATTCAGTGAAAGCAAACCCATCAGATGACACATCCGTCTCAGAATAACACCCCCCCCCCCCCGGCATATTCCTTCCCAACGAACACGCAGACACGCTGGGGGAGTTCTGAGATGTTTGAGGTCAGTGGGCCTGCAGAACCAGTCCTGCCTGGTTGAAAACTACCTGCGTATTTATGTACCTATACGTGGGGTATATACGTACATGAATAAACAGGCTTGATGGTCATGCAGAGAGCCGTTATAGCAGTTATAAAGGGAAGAGGTAAAAATAAATGTACTGGAATAATAGCAGAACAATTAGAGTACATCCCCAAACTGCCCCTTTTTTCTCTAAAGGAGAACCCAGATTAGAACATCTAAATCGGGAGCTTTCCGTCAGTTACTTACGTGGTTGATGTGATTGCTTTTCCTTTTATCTCTCACTGGAAAAGAAAGAGAAATGCATCAGTGGCCTTGCCTTTCCTCTAAGCTTAGGTGTGAATTATAGCATTCAGTGGTTCAGAACATGCGCTGCTCCAGAATTAGGGAGAAGATCTTAAGAGCGAACTACACATGAAGACCTTATGCAGCAGAGTAGCTTCCAGCAAGCCCGTGGTGTGCTGCTTGTGAGGGTCGCCTGCTCGCTCAGGTAACAGAGAGGCAGACGGTGAGGCTGGAAACCAGAAACCTCCTGGTCATGAGCCCTCTAGTTCAACCACCATTATGCCGCTGATAAGAGGAAGCCGACACCGTAAGGTCTCCGATAAGCCTGTTAGCAACTTTGTTCTGCTTTCTGGATGTGCTGCAGAGCTTTGCATGCCTCCATTACAACGGATGATTTCCAAGGACACCCGATGCGCTGCTGCCATTTCAGACAGCAGGCTGGCAGAGGACCCTGTGGAAGGTTTAATCAGAAGGCACGGGCGAGTCGAACCCATCCCTACCCTCTCTCGCAGCACGGTTCATTCGCGGGTCACTGTAGGAGACTGGGTGCCGAGCTGCACGGCGCAGGTAGGGCTTAGGATCTCCCAAATTGCCGCTCTCGGCTGAAGAGCAGGCGAGATCAAGCCCAATCTCTCAATGGCGGGGGGGAGGGGGACTAACTGAGCGAGACTGTAAAAAAGGGCCTCGAGAGGGTGGGACCCCCGGGCTCGTGGAGACCGGCTGCATCAGAAGCACCGCTGCCGGGAAGGAGGTGGCCCACAGGGCGGGAGAAGGAGGTGGGAAAGCAGGGAAGAGCTCCCCATCACTCACCGTCGGTCTGCGACTTGCTGAGGAAGATGGTGCTGGCTCGGGGGTGGTCCGACGGGTTCGACTCCAGGGCTAAATCTGCCGAGAGAACAGAGAGCTCAGGAGCTGCGTGTCCGAGCGCAGGTTCACCTGCAGTAACAGTACACCCCCCTTGTCGGAGCCGTGCCAGAACGAGTCAGCCCCGACTCAGCCTCGCAGGTGGGGCTATAAAACACATACAAAGGCACGGGCGTAGGAAAGATCCCTGTTCAATTTCACCGGTTAACATTTCAGCTTCCGCACCTGAATGAGTACAGTTCTGAAACTCAAAAACAGGGTGGGCACCAATTCCATACAGTTTAATTTCTAGACATACCCATTGTTACACTCAAGTGCGTTTTTTCAGCACCTTCAGCACACACAGCTCTATGCTGTTTTTCCCCCAAAGTGCTCATTAAGATCTTCCTCCCTTTATTCTAAAACCCCATTAACAGGTTTCTAATTTTAGATGAACAAACACAGGGAATCGTACTGTATAAAGCACTCCCAGCTGATGCTTTTGTCTTTTCCTGTTGCTCAAGTCCAGTTGGTTCAATTTCAGCTTCCACACCTGAATGGGTACACTCCTGAAACCCAGAAACTGGGAGACTGGAAAGGGGTTAGGTACCAATTACAAATCCCAGTTGACCTTTCAAGAGTCGAAAGCACGTTTAAAAATGTGTCCCAGATGAAAAAATAACTCGTCTGCAATTAAGAATGAGGGACTTGCTACATTAGAGGCCCAGAGTATAGGATTTTATACGATTTTGAGAGAGCTGTAACATCAAACACGTGTTACAGACACTAAATAATATCCCTGTAAACTTGCATTTATTTCAGAATATATGTATTGTTTAAATAAAATGGTGCTAGTCCGGTTTTCATTTCCTTTGTATTACGTCCTGTATCCGTTTGGCTACTTATTTTAGGAAGGCTGGATTAGCTGGGTAATCCTGGGAGACCCCTTGTAGGACTTTCACCTCTGCAGCTGTGAAATGCGTTCTTGAGCAGCTCTCTACAGGGTCTTATCTGAGAGGATCAGACCAGCTTAACAGTCAGCCAATCAGCACCACGAACCCTCAGATAAGGGCCTGCTGCACTCTGGTGAAATTAATCATGACCTGGGGGTCCGTGGGGCCACAGCACCTTCTTGGGATTTTAATCCAGCCGAGCTCTGATTGTTTTAACTGAATCAAATCAACGATAAATGAATCAAGCAGTTGCTTAATGAGGTGGGGCGGGCCTGCTTTCCAGATCTCTGCTCATTATCCACAGGAGACTTGCTTCAAAAGCCTGCGGGGCTACGGCTCTCCGGGACAGGAGCTGCTGACCCTCCGATCACAGTCGAAGCAGTTTAGGGAGGTGCTCACACAGCTGTTGAAGAGTCGGGCGAGCCAGAAATGACCTTGGCCCACTTTGCCGCAAGTCTTAAAGGTTCCCAAAACCAAAATCGACGCTCCGCCCCACCCCACACGTTCCAGAAAGCCTTCCTTGGCCAGGGCAAGGTGAGGTGGAGAGGGAGGTGATCTCCAAAGCCTGAGAGGAGGGAGGGGCAGGCGCAAGGCTCTGGTGCTGGCACGCTGGCTGACTGGCTGGCTCCGAGGCCGGGAGACTCCGTGACTCCGGGAAGTGTGGGCGGAGGTGTCGAGGAGGCCTGCCGCAAGCCGAGCGCAGCACATGCAGCTCGGCACAATAGGGGTTTTGTTTCAGCGGGAAGCCGACATGCCTTCGCCCCCAGCTGCTGCGTGCTGGCTTTCTGGAAAGCCTGCCAGATTAATCACTGCCCCGCAAGTCTTTACAGCGACCTGCCGGCTGCACAACCGGCTGGCTCCGAGGCTGGCGGTACTTTGTTCCCGGGCACTGAATCACCGGCTCCGACTATTTAATGGCACCGATCCAGACTTTCCACTTCCCCACCACACCATAATAAATGGCGGAGCTCGGGTTAATGGTGCAAACATGAGCTAAGCATTCCACCGGTGAGAACACAGACTTATCTAGTCTATGCCAATAATGACAGGCCATATATTTTTGCTTCCTTTATGACATGACAGGGCCCCAGTAATTCCACATCGGGCTTTGATTTATAGGATGTCTGCACCCATTACTGCACAGAGCAAAAAAAAAAAAAGACCTAAAGTATATTCCTCTTTGTTGCTCCGAGTCTTTTTCTAACTCGTTCCCCTGCATCTCCCTCTCCCAGGTGCCGCTGTTCGTACGTTCTCTGCAGACGTCTCAGGAGGAGGTAAGGAATTCAGAAGTGTGCCGTCCCCATGGACCTGTCTTTAAAACAGGTTAGGTTCCAAGATGAGAAGGGGCATTAAACATACTAAACTACA